GGCCTCGAACATAAAGATGTCGACTCAGGACCTTCGGGCTATGTAGAGGCTACGCTCTTGTTGGTTCTCAAATAGAAGTCGATTACATGGAAGTCGACTTCTTGGGGTCGACTTGTAGAGGATCTTCCTTTTCTCTAGGCTATTCTTACAAAGAATCGACTTCGCGAAAGTCGACTTGCATGTGTCGACCGGTATACATCGACATGTGGGCTGCCTGAGCGATCATTCGGCCGAGTAGAGGGCTCTTGGGCCGGTATACCAGAGTATGGTTATATCAATGGATGGAACGCTCCCTCTCTCTCATATGCGAGAAGAGTGGAGCTCATTAGATCGGTCCTCCAGGGGGTGGAATGTTTTTGGTTGTCTATCTTCCCTCTTCCGTCGACCGTCCGTTCGCTTATAATCCAACGATGTCATCGCTTCCTTTGGGGCTCAAAGATGGCGCCGGTGGCTTGGCTCACCGTCACCCTCCCACGTTCGGAGGGAGGCCTAGGCCTTCGGGACCTCAAAGCGTGGAACAAAACCTTGCTAGCACGGACACTATGGAATATTCAAGCCAAGAAAGACACCTTGTGGTACCGTTGGGTTCATCATGTTTACCTAAAGCAAAAATCCGTGTGGCAATGGACCATCCACAAGAACGATTCTCCTCATTTCAAGAACCTCTATGACATTCTGAACATAATAGTTGAAAAGTTGGGTAACATACAAGCCACCGAGGCCACTCTTAGCCTTTGGGACTCCAAGTCTCGCTCCAAGGGGCCTTCATGCGTCTACGAGTTCTTCCGACCCCAAGGCACGTCCGTACCTTGGAAGGGTGTGGTTTGGGGGCCCGCCAATACCCCAAACACGCCTTCATTCTTTGGCTTGCTACGCTCGGGAGGCTCCGAACCAAAGATAGAATTGGCTTCCTTGATATTAACCTTACTTGTGCCTTTTGTGGGGAAGCTTCCGAGACAAAGGATCATCTCCTTTTCACTTGCCCCCTTTCGGCCCAAGTGTGGCTTTCCATCCGGCATTGGCTAGGATTGAGGCGACAACTCTCCACTCTAAAGAGTGCATTGAAGTGGATTAAGAAGGAATCCCAAGGCTCCGGTTGGAGAACAAAAGCAACAAAGGTCGGGCTCGCGTCTACGGTATACTTCCTTGGGATTGCTCGAAATAGAAAGATTTTTTAAAATAAGGTGCAAACTCCGGAGCTCATTATTCGGAAGATTCAAACCCATGTCTATAGGAATATATTTGCTTTGTACCGAATGTACTTGCCGACATGGAGAGAAAAGCCCTCGGAAATGACTTGGACTAGTCTCCTTAAATAGAGCGTGGTTTGCCTCTCTTTATTTTATGTTGATTAGAAAGTGAGGGACCGGATAGTGGTCGCCCACTTTGCTCTAGTTTGCCGTGAGACGGTTGATGTAGAAACGATTTTGATTTATAAAAAATTAATTTAACGACCAAAAAAAAAATCATTTTTTCAACTTTTTAATAATATCCACATATTTTACAACTTTACAAATTAAAATCACAATATTATATTAAATTTGATTTGAAATTTATGTAATAAAATTAATTATAGAGTTATAATCCATCTACATAATAAAATCTGATAGATTATATACATTAACAATTAAATATTACATTATACAAGCTGAAAAATAAGAAATATGTTGAGATAAACATAAAATAATTATTTGTACAAGTAAAACGTAGTTAGTCTTAAAATTTCGAAATGGGTGAAATCCTTACACAAATGACCAATTAGTGCAATTTGAAGTGCAACGTGATAATCTTTATTTTTAATTTTTTGTACAGTGATATGAATCTCTGAAATCAAGTACTTTCATATGTTCCAATTTCGACCTCTGGCGGTGGCGTTTCCATCTCTATTTCAAATGTTGCACTTACGTCACGTTCATTCTTGACAATTAAGTTAAGCAAAATTATACATGTGATTATTATATCATGTAGCACTTCTTTTTTCAATAACGTACTGGTCCTGCTTCATTGACAAAGTATGATTAAAGAACTCCAAACGCACGTTCAACGTCTTTGTTGCGTGATTCTTGTTTCATTGCAAAATATCTTTTATTCGAACCACAAGGCTCATGAATTGTTGGCACAGTGGTAGACCAATTGGATATATGCTATCAACTAAATAATCCATGTTATATTTTTCTTGATAAATTATATAATAAGCTGGATGAGCAATATATTGGGTTAAATAAGTGAAAGATGAGATTGTTCAAATATGTAGATATCAACGTTAGAGACTGACAAACTGAAATAAGCATGTCATATTGACGTAGCGAAAACGTATACGCAAGAGTGATGTGAGGAAGCCCTCGAATATATAATTTTTTTATTCAAAATCAACCAACTAGAACAATAGGAGAGAATTCCTTTAAATAGAGATCGTAAAAGCCCTAAGTAAATAACTTGTCTAATAAGAAATGAAATACGAGAAACAATTAATTTTTCCTACCAAATCTGATATGCTAGACGATAACGCTTGTCCAAAAAGGCCAATGCAATCTCGTCTCCATCATCCCCCACTTAAAAAGGATTCACCATCGAATTCAGCGCAATTTTGACTTCGTCGGAATTGTCACCATTAAAAGGGACCAGATGGTTGACATTGACGACATCACATGTGCGAATGTGTGAAGGCAAACTAAAGCGGTAGGCATTAGAAATTATTTTCTCCATAATCTCAATTGGGCTAATTTTACAGGCTAGTAGAATCCGCACGTGCAGAAGATCTAACCGTCATCATTACGACCCACACATAATCGCCTACCTCAAACTCGACATGGTGATGATGCGTATTTTCATGCCTCTTGTACGAAACATTAGCAACCTCGTCCAAGACACGCAGGGGGTTAACATCGTCACCTGGCACCGTACTCCCATCAGTGACAACTCGTCTTTCTTCCTTTGAAAGTGAAAATAGAACACTAGATATGGACGTGACTTTGTCAAAGAAATCAAATTCTCTTTGGAAAATCTCAAGTTCTTTATATTTGAAACCATCAATAATCCGTTGTCTGGCAACCGATAGTACTTCAAACGCATTACTTGTGGCAGATGGTGTTCCTTTCTCCAAATCAAGAACACAAGTCTCACCTTGCAAATGTCATATCAATATGTGGGCAAAGATATCACTTCTTTGTGCTGCTCTAAGTCAGTAAACCTCAACCAACCTACCTTCATCGTATCTTAGTGCTTGTACCAACTGAGGCAAGAAGAATGTCACTCTGTCAGGTGAATATGTCTCCAATACATAGAGAACATAAGCCATCACTCGTGGGTGAACTTTATAAGTTGGAGTAAGAAATTCCAATGCTTGTGTAATTGAAAAAGCTATCCAGTGAGGAAACTGTTGCAAGAGTGTCGAATTTTCATCCACTGCTTTAGGTGACAAAATAAGACAAAACTTCAGCAATGTTGTGAATCTCCAATATATGTGACTGGGACCTAACAAATGGCTTGTAAATTTGAAGAGCTTCCCCCAAGTGGAGGCGCCATAAGCAAAAAAAGTAGGAAGGTGCATCATGGGCAGGATTAACTGTGTAGATTGCATGGAAGTTGACATTATTGTTTCTATAGATTTGGTATATTGAGGATTTGATGAAGCCGGAGAACCCGAACTCATCTCCGTAAGTGCAAATTCCAAACATGATCGATAGAGAAGAAGTGTCGGACATCTCTCATCACGTGCTCCTCAACCACATGGTCATCATCATAAAATATAGATAGACCCTCATAGTTGAACTATCCTTGCTCATCCTCAATCAGCGCGCGCGGAATGTCGGACTTCGGGCAAGTAGCTTTTCGATGACCAGGCTCGCCATACGCAAATGACCACAAAGTAGCCGACGACTTGTGACCAACCCCA